TATCTTGAGCAAGGATCATACCATGCCTGGAAATAGAAGACGACGTAAAAGGCTTCAGCACAAGGCAGCCACAGGCAGTTCGTCACAATCCGTAGCACCTAATTCATGCAAGGAATGCTGTATTACGACACCCGATGGCTGCAGTGTTTGCACCAAAGTTGTTTCGGTAGTCGATGAGGCATTTGCATGCAACCTATGTCAACGATGGGCGCATTGCCACTGCGACACCAAAGTCCCCCGACAATACTATAAGCTGATGAAGAGACAACCATGCAAGTGGTTCTGGTACATCTGTCCAGAGTGCAGGAAAATGCCCGCACTCCGCACAGAAAGCCTGAAGGAGATGCTCTCCGCCACGCAAAAGCTACCAGCACCCTCGAATAAAGTAGGGTTAACACCAAAAGATAACACAGAGAGACCTGGAAACAGACCTAGAGCTCCAGCTGTGGGCACGCCACCTCGCGTGGGGACCATATTAGGTCAAGTCTCCATACCTCCTACCCGGCCCCAGGGGACGTCAAGCGTATGGCCAAAGACATCGACCGCTAAAGCCTCTACGAAACCCATTCCAAACACCTTACACACCGTGACTGAGAAACAACCAGTGGAATTACTCAAACCCATTGGGAAGTCAAGCGTGCCACCCACAACGAACCCAGGTCACAGGAGGACCAACTCGATCATTTTGTTCAACGTCGATGTATCGACAGACTCATTGTTGGTCGAGAGGGAACGGTTTGACAGCCGAATGTGGACCGACTACTGTCAGATGCTAGGACTCCCTCCCCTCCCTGCAACTTTATGTCGCCTTTCTCGAGGAAGCCGTGCACCCCGAGATAAGCCACCCCCTTTACGTGTGTCCCTAAATACTACCAAAGAGGCTGAAGACACACTCCTCCTCTCGCGACAACCGGACGTTGTTAATGCCTGTAAAATTCGGGCCAGGCCTGACAAGCCATGGTCAATAAGAGAGGAGGAGAGAAAGTCAGCGGTTGGAAATCCCAACAGAAACAACACTATAGTTGTACATGGGATTCCAGAATTGCCAAGTGACCGCTCGGTCAAAGATCGGTACTTTCATGACGTCCAACAATGGCAATGGCTCTCAACCAAAGTTGGTCTCAACAGTATACCGGCCAACAGCGTCAGTAGACTGCCAAGGCCAGCGCACCTGAAGACCATACCCAATCCCAGACTACTCGCCGTCCAGTTCGACTCATATGCCTCCCTCACAGACGTTCTACAGGCATGGTATAATGCGAAGGATCGCATGGGTGGCTCAATACGTATATGTGAAAGTAAGCCTAGACCCACAAGGCAAGAGGAGAGACGACAACCACCAAGACCCTGGAGTCAGTGGTCGTCACACAGGCGCTGACCAGTGAGTTAGATACATCAAGTAAAGAAGCTACCACTGCCACAGCCCCCACCCAAGTTAATAACAAAACACCAAAAAACGGAACAATGCCAGTCCTATGAGGACTGGCGAGGGTAGACCCAACCACATAAGCTGTCATCCTGCGAAAATACACAACCAGACCTCCCCCTCACCAGGCACACTCTAATATGTATGTACAGCAACGTTAGGGGGCTAAGAGGGAAGGTAGCAGAAATGAGGACGCTGCGTGCACATCAGCACTCCGACATCATATTCATCACCGAATCCTGGCTCTCGCCAGACATCTCCGACGAAGAGATGCATGTTACTGGCATGGAACTCTTCCGCAGGGACAGGGAACATAGAGCAGGAGGAGGAGTGGCTATCTACGTAAACTCTTGTTTAAAGGCAAGGATGGTTAGCGATACGGCCTTAACCCAGCTCCCAGAGTCCCTATGGTGCTACTTCACTCTCCACAGTACCAAATACCTGCTCGGAGTCATATATCGGTCCCCCACCTGCTCCCCTACACATAAGGAAATGATCATCAAGGCTATCTTAACGACTTCCTCTGCAAATTACGATTCCGTAGTCATTGCCGGCGACTTCAACACCCCGTCCATCCTCTTCGAGACGGAAGGGAGACGCATCAGATCCTTCAATCAGAAGCTGAAGGATGCAATTAAGACTGCTGGCCTCTCAGAGAAAGTGGGTGATGCTACACGCTGGGGACCTAACGGAAACGCATCGCGCCTTGACTACGTTCTGACGAACGATGAACTTCTCATTGAGGATGTTTGCATCCAACCTCCCCTTGGCCTCAGTGACCACGCTGTAATCACCTTCTCCATGATAACTAGGGAGGCTCTGCAACTGGAGACGCCCAACACCTTCCCTTGCTACAGCAAGGCCAACTATGAGACCATGAGGGACTACCTCATGAATGCATCATGGCCAGTGGACTGGACTCATCTCACAATAGATGAACACTGGTTGGAGGTGAAGAAAATAATCACTGGGGCCATCAGTCACAGTGTACCAGAAGTAACACACAGACAATCAATGAGAACCTCATGGTTAAAGCGTGGGACAGAGAGGCTTATCCGGAGCAAGAAGCAGGCTTGGTTCAAGTGGCTTACATCACGCAGGGAGTCTGACTTCTTGAACTATAAAAGGATTCGCAATCTCTGTAACATTAGAGTGCGTAACGACAGATTTTCCTACCAAACAAACTTGGCAGCGAGGTTACAAAGCAACCCCAAAAACCTGTACCGCTTCATGTCAAGAAGAAAGTCGACCAGTAAGGGAGTGAATCTTGTCACAGGCCATGACGGGAGTGTGCTAAGCAGTCTAGAGATTGCCGAGCTTTTGAGCTCACACTTCCAAGCCCAACTCAGCACTGACACAAGATCCACACCGACTCGCCACGACACCGACCAGGTCGCAAATAACGAATACCTCTGTCACGTCTCTATTACAGAGAAAAAGGTGTTCGAGAAGCTATCTAGGCTACGTCCGGGCAAGTCCCCTGGCTGCGATAATCTGAAACCAGTGGTTCTGAAAAACTGCGCCGAGGTGCTTACCAAACCACTTCGCAACCTCTTTGAGCACTCAATAGACTCGTGCAAACTCCCTAAAGAATGGAAGAGTGCCATCTTGTCACCCATCTTCAAGGGAGGAGACAGAAAAAACCCTGGCAGCTACAGGCCGATTGCCCTACTCCCTATTGTGTCGAAAGTGTTGGAAAGCCTGGTAGCTGACACCATCTGGGAATTCCTCAATAGAGAAAACACTGTCCACACTGCTCAGCACGGCTTTCGTAGTGGTCGCTCATGTGCCACCAACTTACTAACTGCCTGGGACGACTGGACACAAAGCTGGGATAATAGAAAACCTGTACATGCTGTATTTCTCGACCTAGCCAAAGCATTTGACAGTGTCCCACCCACAGTACTGCTTCACAAGATCATGTCAGCTGGTATAAGTGGACCCCTACTCTCTTGGTTCAAGGAGTACCTGGAAGGGAGGCAGTTCTGCACTAAAGTGAACAGAATAAGGTCGGAGTGGAGACCGTCGACGTCAGGAGTATCCCAAGGAGCAATCCTAGGACCGCTTCTGTTCCTCCTCTTTGTCAACGATCTGCCAGACAAAATATCCTCACCCATCCTCCTCTTCGCTGACGACATAAAAATTTGGAGGGTGGTAAACGAAGAAGCCGACTGTGCAGCACTACAAAAGGACTTGCAGCAACTCGAGCTCTGGTCGTCGGAAAATGGTCTGAGCTTCAACTGGAAAAGTGCAAAGTAATGCACATCAGTAAAAATGAGGCAAGTACGACCGACTTCCAGTACATGTTGAGCAACCGTGCTATCACCAGAGTGTCCATGGAGAAAGATTTGGGGCTCAACTTCTCCGACACCTTGGACACCAGCTCCAACTACAAAGGTATGACAACCAGAGCGAACGCCATTCTACACTTTCTGCGTAGACAGCTTGGCGCCCTCACTCCCGAACTCTTCCTCACCATTTTCAAATCCTACGTGCGGCCGCACCTAGAGGTCTTCAATACGGTGGCTCCTCCAACACTCAAGAGAGACTCTAATCTCCTTGAAAGAATACAAAGAACTGCAACAAAATCAGTTGTGGGGCTAAGGGGAAAGACGTATCCTGAAAGACTTAAACACCTCAACCTATTTACCTTGGGTTATCGCAGGAAAAGGGGTGACCTCATTATGGCATACAAGATCGCCCATCAGGCAGACCATGCAAACAAATCAATTTTGCCTGCAACTGAACGATCTTCACGAGGAAACCCCTTTAAGATAGCACACCAGAGAGCCAACACCACACTCAGGTCCAAATTTTTCTCCCTGAGAGTATGTGCTTTATGGAATGCCTTACCGCGACACATCGTTATAGCTCCTTCAATCGACTCTTTCAAGAGGCGATTAGACAGTTATGTCACCTCGCATGGACTACCACGGACGTACTCAGGTAGTCACCAACCTCAGTACCCCCAACTCCCTCCTAACTACCACTCACTATCTCTCTCCTTAATACACCCACATTACCTACTAATTCTTCTGTAGGAACCAAACCCACGCGACCATTCGGGCAATTCCCAAATACTTTTCTTTCGTTCTCATTTCTCTCTTCACCCCTTCTTTTATTCTCCTTCCCTTTCCTCTTCCCTACATTATTATTACTATTATTTTTATTTTTAATTTTATTTATTTTTTATTTTTTTTTTTATTTTTATTATTTTATTTTATTTATTTATTTATTTTTTTTTTTTACTCTTCCTTATTTCTCTCTTCATTCCTTTACCACTACCTTAATATTCTCTTTCAGGTACCTACACAGACAGGAGTCACGGTTGTTCTCTAAACTTCCCAGCAGCCCGTAGCTCCCTAATCACTCTACAAATTACAACCTACTAACCCACAAAACATCCACCTCACCGAAGCTAAAAGCAAGAAAGCAGAGGGCATTTCCTCGTCCACTGCAGGAGTGAACCGAACAACTGGAACCAAGCCCTAAGAACTAGACGCGAGAGATCAAAAACTACTAGTTTTCTACGCTCGCACTATCAATATTGGATATTGGATATTGGATTGGATAGGACTGATCCGCAAAAGTCGAAAGGCACGTTACCTTTATGTCCAGACATAATGACCGAAGAGAAATCAGCTGGTTTTCACTTACCGGATATATGGGATGATGATGATGCGATGTTTTCATTGATGCAGCCCATTCGAAGATCAAAGATTATAGATCCAGTCGGTTATAACGCTAAAATTACGTTTTGGCGAAGGATCTTAATATCATATGCAAAAAGTCAAAACGCATTTGTTGTTTGTAAACAGTCACTTCAGAAACTGTTTACTCGACATTTTCCCGTCGAAGGCGTGGATTTATTTCCCCAGTCACTCGGAGAAGTTATCTCTGATATGGTATCAGAAGGCTTACTGGAAACAATCACTCCTCCTAGGAGTATTCTAGGAAATATTTTCACGGTATTTTCATACGCGGTGCAGCAACCAATATCATGGGCGTATCATTACTTCAATGGGTTAGTTTTCTGTTTTTTATCCCAATATATCTTACAATGAATAAGTTTCTGTGGAGAGAGATGAACTGAAAAACCAATGTAACTGACACAAAACGTCATGAGTCTAAGTTTTCATACGTTGCAGCGATATATAAAGAGGGATTGAATAGAAAAGCAGCAACACACAAAAAAATGTGTATGAAGAGAAAATAAGTAGATGAAGGTTGGTAAATCTCAAAAGTTTGAAGATGTCAAAGGGCGTGCACAACCGTACCATTGTAACCGGTTTTCAGCCATATCACCAGGGCTCTTAAAACGTTGGTTTCTGTTCACTCCTAAATCCCAAGCTAGCAGCTCTCACCTCCCTACGCGGTTCAGATCAACAGTCAAGAACTTCATGGATATAGCCACACCTTGTTCTGGCCACCCTTCCTTGTACTCGTTCCTACTTCAGCAGATATTCAGTTTGAAAGTAGATGCTGCTTCGGTATAGACAACATGTATCCGAGCTACCTAAGTTGATGCTTGTCCGCAACACCGACTGACTTGCTCTCTTGGCTTAGTGTCTGACGCCTGACCTCGAAATTATTTATGCCACAGTCTCACCGTGCGCAAACAGTGCTACAAAAATACTTGTATGCTAAAACCCTTCGAAGGGTAAAGACTTGATCGTTGCACTGCTTCTTAGGTCGAAAACTGCGTAGTCTTCTTTAGTTATTTCTGAAGCTGCAGTTGTGGGTCAACCAACCAACCATAGACCCTCAGATCTTCGAGACGATAGTGGTCAAACTGATTCCCTTGTAGTTGTTAAACGCAGACTTCTCTCCTTTATCATAAAATAATAGTCAGCGATGCAGATCTGTCTGATGACGTTACATCTTGCTTCTATACATTGTCAATCACCTCCTTTACTCAGTAATTTTAGGTTTCGGAACCAACTTTCGAGATTTCTTCATGTTGCTTTATATGGTTGACGCTTATTATCCCTGGCAATTCTCCATATAGATAGCAAAAATGCGTCCAAAGTTTAAGTGCAGGGTGAAAATAAGTTATGTGTTGTCGTAAATTGGTTATTCAACTCCCAGTAAAGAATATCGTTAATATTATGTTCAAAGGGAAATGGCAGCTGAACAATTACTATACATTCTGTATGCTAGCAACAGGCGACTGTTATCTCTATTCTCAAGATCTTTTTATGTATAAATTTACAAATGTTGGTCTTTCTCAAGCATACTCTTCTACCAACGGTTGTTAAGCACAGTCGTATGTAGTTCTAATTCGAAGGCATCACTGTTTTTTCTGCCTGATACTTATCGGTTTTCAAGTTTCTACAGTGAATGAAGATTGATGAAATCACACACGGCTTCAGAAATATATGATCAGCAACTTAATGACAGATTTTGGCTAGTTGCACAACTTACGCACTACGATAAAATTTAATATTTTGCTGGGGACTGGTAAAAAGCTTGCATTAATCATTTATCTAACGCCATTCATAATTGTAGTTTAACATAAAACTACTGAAAATACCACGTCTGGGCATCTGAAATTAATCATTCATCCATCTTGTTAGAATGACTTCGCAGTTTATAAAAATCAGTCATATGCCTTAGGAACAGGCGTGAATAGAATACTTAAAAGCTGCCACAACTAAAGACTGATCAAACTGGCTGTTTCATATCACTAGAGCGGCTAAAGCCGAAAACAGTAATTGCGAACCAATAAAGATAATCATCAGGAATCGAGGAGTTAAGGCAACATATTTTTAGATCAGAAGTTAAGAACATAGAGTAAAAGATTTAGAAGGAGACTAGGTGTAAGTACAGATCATACCATACGCGTAGATTTTCATTTATACCATTTTGAGCGTTCAATAATCGATCTCGACCGTCTATATCAACCAAAATAACGGCCAGAGAGTTCACATTTTTTTGGCATATCTTTGTCCGACAGCAGCATATATACTGGATCAGTCCTTTTTAAGATGTATTCCTTTTAATATTACCTTCAAGTTTGATGAGACCTTAAAGTAATCTTGTGGTAACCTAATTATGCACTAAAACGTAACTGGGAGCTTGAAGCAGCAAAAGTATTCAGTTAATCAACTTAAATTCACTATAGTTTCTTATGCATCAACAGACACATAAAGTATGTTACATGAACACCTACTACGCGGATGTAAGACGTCGGCTGAAGTTGGATAGGGTTGGAAAAACGCTTAAAACTACCAAGGCCAAGACAATGCCTTAGTGAATGAGTTCATTAATTGGGCTCCAGCTTTACTGGGCAGTGCATATTTCTGTTAGATGTTTTCATGTTACTGATCGATGATTAAAGAGTTTAGTTTGTTAGGCTAAAAATTGAAATCATTGGTAAAAACCGACCAACGCTTTATCTTTTTTTAAGGTCCAGGGATTTTATTGTGCAACCGTTCTTTCTATGTTTTTCATGTTGCCGATTTAAACATCTTTTTACTTCTTCTGATCTTTTCGCTTGTCTCCTAATTGTAGTGAATAGAAACGATGCAGTTTTATCTAGTTTTATGTAATTGTATTCCACTTCTCGTTTGGTGCTTCTTTTGACGATATCTTGTGATTTAACGTATAGCTGAATACCAAATAACTGTTCTCTTTTGTAAAGTTCACTTAAAACAAATGTTGGTGGAAGTCTACTCTGGAGCTATCCGTGACATGGTACTCTTACCCGTTGTATGTTTCTTGTAAACGAAAATCTCACTTTAGTTTACCTGCATGTTTTTGTCTGTTCCTTTTGTTGTTTTAAAATAGTTGTTAGACTTATCTGCTATCTGTTTGTGCAAAGTCAAGCCAGAGTAAATCCGAAATATAGCAGATTTACTTTCTTGTACTGGGTGATGATTTTAAGTGAAATGAGAACTTGAGCCGCTGCGGGATTCAAACCAGTGACCACCGGGTTTCCTTCCTGGTGCTCTACCAATGGAACTGTAAGGGTTAATAACCAATGTGCTACGTTGAAAAGGCGATAGTTTTACTACTTATGAGGTTTGTATTTTGATGAACTAGTTATAAGATATTGCATATTTTATCGACTCACATAAGATTTTTATTTAATATTTTTGATTCGCATATTAAATTGTTTTAAAACAATAGCTTCTGATTAATCTGTTTTCATACCTCGTAGTCAACACTTATCCAATGCAACAGAATCTGATGTATCAAACCAACAGTTTGTATTTAGTCAGTTTGCTGAAACTTCTGCTGTGGAATTTTTGTCTTGGTTCCATAAAAATTATCATGACCAGAGATTGTTACCGCATTCGCCTGTTTATGAACTAGACCTTTTCAACTCAGCCTTATCATCATTTTACTCACATACTGCTACTCGTGAATATATATGGGACTTAATGAACAGTACTAAGCATTGCGTCTCCGTGGAAATCACTTCTACTTCCAACTCCCAACTGATCAAGGTACGTACAAGACCCGTTTTGTGATAGATTTCGAATTGCATTGAAGCCAAAAAATAACCGGCATTATCTCTTTTTAACAGTTAAATATTTGGTTTCTAAACGTAAAATTCGGGTTGGTAATAAGAGATTGGTCATAGTGTATACAAAGTGGTAGTATAAATCATGCTCATCAAGTTTCATTCGCCTTTCAAAATGAAAATTGGATTAGATTGCAACTTGGCAACCATATACAGATTCATACAGTAAACATTGAGTCACAACTATTGCGTAAAAGCTAATGGTACTATACGAATACTTAGAACGTAGTAGACGGAGCGGGATTCAAAGCCGTGGCCCACTGGTTGGAAGTCAAGCACTGAGATCAATGATCCACAGCTCCGCACTTTTACTTGTCCCATCAGAAGTGCCCGAAATACAAATAAACATCTCAGGTCAGGTATACTGCGCTACAACTCCTTCTGTCCTGTTTTACGGCTGTAAAAGATGGCCGTTAAAAGTAACAGACACAAAGCGGTTGCAGAGTTTTGGTCACAGGTGTCTTCGTAGCATTTCATACCTGTAATGAAACCACCATGTGAGCAATGTTGGAGTCAGGCGAAGGCTACTAGGCAAGAAAGGCAATTCGATTGGTAACGTTGTGAACTGTAGTCGACGTTTGATGGCTTGGATATGTACTGCGCATGTCGAGCCACTGTTTGTCTCGAAGTGCCATGCATGGGGAACTTGGATTAGGTTGGAAGTGAATTCGGAGTGGCCCGATCAAGACCTGGCACCAGTGGATGAAGCCCCTGGTTGTTGGCCTGAGGCATGTAGGGAGATGGAGACTGACTGGTTGGGGTCCCGAGTCTAAAAGAATCAGTGATTGATAACTCTTGATGACATAGTTAAAAATTGGTTACAATGGCGCAGATGTATCCATTTCCTGACATCTAAAACTTAAATACTCATATTTACCTTTATCTTCAGATTGTTTATTTTATCATACAACATTTTCCACTTTGATAACACTCTTTCTCTCCACCTGTTCTTTTTGTACTTCTATGAAGTGTGGCAACTTAAACCGATACACCTGTGTGCGAGACTACGTTGATTTGGTCAGTCAGTCTCAGGTCATCAGTATTTACATTTATATCCATTTACAGACTACACTTCGTCTTTGGATATTTCAGCAGCTTAGTGAAGCGAACAGCCATTGACCACAACTAGTTTGAGTATTTCAGTGCGTTTCAAGAATATTTCTCTGTATTATACTACATTAAGTTGTGTTTCATAACATAACTGCATTCGGCGGTTAGTCTTAGTACAGCCGTAACTTTCATGTAATATTTGGTAGGAGAAGAATCGAATAAGAAAACATTTTCCCATATATATATATATCGTTTATTAGTACCTCACTTGATGTTTTTATTTTTTTCAGATTATTCGTGTTAGCGACAATATAAATGCCCGACCAACCAAGCCATCTGATTCTGAAGCTGCCAAAACAGAGTTATCTGCGTTAAATGGGATAGTTCAGCTTAAATCTACAATTAAGCAATTAGAAAATGAGGAGAAAAGATTAGAGACAACAATTGATCAGCGTCGTGATCAGATCAAGTCTCTATTACTAAACAAAAAGTATGTTCTACGTGTCGTCTGTCTTCATTTTACTTGTGTTATAATATGACACTTGTGAATTAAGTTCCATTTTATCTTCATGCTTTTGTCTTTTTTTTGATGTTTCGTGACAGGAATTCAGAAGCGAAGTCTTTGTTAAGGCGTACAAAAGTAATCGAAAAATCTCTGGAACAGAAACAGATTCAGCTTAACAATCTTGAGACAATGTTACTTGACCTAGAATCAGCGACGGAAAACAGAAACATTGTACGCGTTTTGAGTAGTGTAAATGAAGCACTGAAACACGCTGTAGGTGGATCTGATGCTTTAAGTAAAGCGGAAGGGATCGTATATGATGTAATGGATAGAATTCATGAAAGTCAAGATGTAAGCACTTTTAAACAAACATTATTAATGGCGTAAAAGATAACTGTATTATTCTACCCTATATATAACCTCACTTCTATCCTATTTGTGTCATATTCTTGTGGAACGGTCACATATTATCATCATGAACTTCGTTACTAACATAGATGAAAGTGTAGTTAACGGAACTACAAGGTAGAAGTGCGAATTTACCGTCACTTGTCAAAATTTGTTGTGAAATACCTTCGAGTTGTCATTTCATTGAATTTCTTGGGAATTCAACCTCAAAAATTCGATTGTAAAAGTTAATAAATCAAGGAAATGTTACCGTAATCTGTGTGATATGTAGTCCTGTCTATTAGTTTTGTTCTAATAGGCATTGGGTGTAATACATATTCAGTCATTTGATATAGTTTATATTGGTGTAAGTCAGAGCGTGTTTGAACTAAAATAGTTCCAACATTTCGTATTAAAGTCTGGTTTGAATTTCTTCAAGGTAATGGTCGAAAATTAAAACACCGAAGATATATGAATGAATTTAGACTAGTTTGTAAGCAAATAGAACGACTCTAGCATTGACCTTTAACGCCAGTTTCATCTTCATCATTTGTGCATTAACAAAAGCTCTCAAAATGAATTGATTTGGTTGTTGTTATTACTCCTAGCATTATTGTTATTGTTCTGACTGTTATTACTATTTTAATTACGATTATCGTATAGTTATTGTTATTATTCATTTCCACTTAACCCCGACAAATCATTTCTATGTACCAACCGAAACGACACACATGCATGATATGATGTAGCCCAGTGGTTTAAGGAGGTTACTATCAACTTTAAGTCACGAGTTCAAGCCGCACTCTATCTACCAAGGTTTGGGCAGCCTGGTAGTATCACTAGCCCTCACACAACAAGTGTGGCTCACTGCCTATTGCATGGATGTGCACAAGGTGTCTGAGTGTATCCCGCTTTCGTTTGTTTGTTTGTTTCGAGATGGCTTGGACATATATTGCTCATGCCCAGCCACTGCCTACGTCGACGTGCTATGCTACAGGAAGTAGGATTAAGTTGGAAAGGGTTCAGGGTGACCAGACTAAGATGTGGTACTAGTAGTTCATGAAGTTCCTGACTGTTTGTCTGAGTCGTGACTGGGCTCCCCAATATTATACAAATCACTGGTTGAGGATTCTTGCTGATGTAGTTGAAAATCGGTCACAATGGCGCAGATATATTCACTTTTTAATATCTTCTAAAGCATGAATATTTGCATTAAACTTTGTCTTCAAATTGTTTCTCCTATATTCCTTTGTCTACTTTGACAGCGTCAATCGATGCGCTTATGTTCATGGTTCTACGCTGATATTGTTTGTCTGTCTGAATACCGTAGATGATATGTTGTTGTTAAGATGAAAAACGTTTCATTTATTATTCAGAATACAAAATTGAATTACATTAAAACCCTCTTATATTATAAACGATGTCTAAAATTCAAGGAAATTCCTTACTTAGTATACGTGTTTAATATGTGATGCATAGTGAGCATTTCTCCCTATGCTTAAAGATTGTGAAGTAGTCAACCATTACCGCGTCTTTATTTCTTGATTATCCACCTATCTATTGTTCTAAAAATTAAAATTCTGTCCTGTGTTCTATTACATTGTAATCTCTAAAATATTTTCTGTTGTTTTAGATATCAGACGCCTTCGCTTCTTTAGGACGTAATTCTCTTGGTTTAGAAGAAACAAATGATTTGGAGCATGAACTTGAAGAATTCCTTGATACTTCAAAGAAATCTTTGTCTTCAGCAGAAATACATCCCAGTTATGATGATTTAGAAGCTGAACTTGCTTCTCTGACATTAGAAAAAGATAAAGAAGTACCAGTATCAGATCAAGGTTTACTTCCCTCTAAACAGAAGCCTATTTTACTTAATGAATGAAGCATATCATATAACTAACTTATTTTATCTTCACCCTTGAGCTTTCAACCCTCCTAAATTTTGGCGTAACAAGATGAATACTAGTTAAGAGTTCATAATTGTCTTTAACTTGAGGTTTTTGTTTTCATCATTGTAAATTTAATTGTCTTCCTTGTTTTCTCGTCAAATCACAGCCTTTCATAATAACTGACTTCATTTCATTGAAATGATTACATAACAGGTGTTAAATGTCACTTCCTTTGAATTCAAGAGTTCTGTCCACGTAGCAATAAATTTTCTGGGTAACTAGTTATTTGAACAGTGCTCATCTTTCTTTTTACTCTTTTTCTTTACAGTAAAGGCGTACCTATATATATCACTCTACAACGTGGAGACATGGTTCTCTGTATATCTTCCTACATCTCCTGGATATGCTTTAACTCCTTCGGGTATATGTACTTTACAGTAGAAAAAAGGTAGCAGTGTAAGAATAGTAAGGCTGTAAAATAAGCAGTTACAATGTTTTCCTTCAGTGTAATACGTTGTGCGGATATAGAGAGTGTTATTGTCTTTTCGGCAATCATCGCACCCTTACTTTATGACAGAACAATAACGGTAGGAAGGATCTTCAACTTACTAGTTCACACTGTCTTGCGTGCAGTGAATTGCCGGGTTGATCTTTTTTTTACCTAATGATGTTTTGGATTTGTAGATCGTATTGTAGGCAGTATATATGGATCTAGTCCTTCTTTGAGGACGTCTTCAGGTGAAAGTGAGATGATACTACTACTCAAGGGGAAGTTCCAGATCTTTGGGTTTCTAACTAAAAAGAAACTCTTCACCTTTATCACATAGTTTCTACCTTCTACTATTGCCCTCTGGGTCTATTGTAACCGTTTACTTTGACTAACCCATGTAGAGGGTGTCAAGTAATGTTTAATACTTGGTGTAACATCATAAGTTTACCGTAGTTCTCATATGCCCCCAAATGGGGTAGGCCCAGTGTATGTATTCCCCAGTCATATAGAATAATTTAGTAAACTTGGATCATCATAATATTTTTCCTTTGGAACTTATCTAGTAACCTATTTGTCCCACATCAAGTGCGGTGGTTCCATATTCCAGAAGTTTTCTTACGTAAATCTACAAAATACTTTGAGGAGCATCCATAATAACTTAGAGATGGTTTTCTTGACTGCATTAGATATATGCCTAGGACTGATGAGACTTCCAGCTAATTAGCACTCCTGATTTGCACGCACCATTGGCATTTGGTGTAGTATACTATTCCGTATATTTTAATATTCGGTTGGAAAGCATTGAATTCTTGATGGTTTTTTTAGTGTCAGTCAGATTGGTTTCCTTTAGTTGGTTTTTAGCATATCATATCGTTAATAGATCAGCAAACGGTAATGATGGAGAATCAAGAGTATTAGGTAGTTTGTTGATAACAGATTTAGACAATATGGAGCTGAGTAGAGATCTTTGGAGAACACGGCTCTTACAAGAGCTGGGTTGACTCTCAGTCATTGGGCTTTCTTACACAGAGTTAGTTCTTAAGATAATAAATAAACTCGTTTAAGGGTTGCATGTCAACTCTGGCAGAAATTATTTTAATCGATAAACAACAGCGACCGAAAGCAAGTTAGATGAAATTTGTTTGGATTTTGCTATCCATTGATTGAGTGCCATGAGTATATCAATCATACAAAAATGATCTTTCGTGAACCTGTACCGTTAATCTTCAGTAAAGTTTATCCTTACCAGAAAGTAAGGTAGACATTCCACCATTTGATAGTACTTTCTACTTGTGTGATAGTGTAGTTATTTATCTGCAGTCCAATGAGTCAAGTATATTACTTCCTTTATAAACTGATGAAATCCTTCGGTTATCTGTAACGAATGAAATCATTTGAATGGATGGTATCGATGTCCGTTTTCAGAAAATTGCATCACGTATGGTATTTCTATTACTAAAATGCGGTGTTTTCTGACACCGGCTAGTTGTACAACAGTCGGCGTTATTTTTGTCAGAGTTTATTTTGGAATATTGGGTACCTGGTAAGGCATGCTTACTTTTAGATTTTGCTGTTACATCACCCGTGGATTATTTAGAAATACCAGATATGCGCTCTTACATTCAGCGTTTGTTTCCAGCCTGTGTTATTTTCTTGAGTTGACCTTGGTTTGCTATTCTCATTGGATCCTATGATTGACGGATTGAAAAGAAAGCCCAACGTTTAGTCCAAACTAGTACTATACCCTGAGTTGCTATGTTCAAGTTAGTCCTACAACCATTAACGTCACACTAAGAGAGAAGATGAGGTTAGACTGTTAAACCAAACAGGGGTGACTTCAAAGGCCACGCTAAAAAATGATAAGACAGCCAATTACATTCCTTTATTTTACGGAAAAGTATTCTTCCAGGTAAAATACCGAAGTCTGATTGGTCATTTCAGCAATTGTTACAATGGCCTTTAAAGTTACTACCAAACAAGAGGTACCTACTCTGTGCAGTGCATATCTCTGAAGCATTTATTGTTAAACCGAATCGGAGAACTTATAGATCCCATGAATTCGAGTGATCTGTCCTGAAAGTTACTTTATATAGTGCAACTGATTGCAATCAACGTTTTTTTCAAGAACCCTATCGAAGATACGGTGTTTAGTTGTTCAATCTGCAAACGACTTTGTTTCTTGTCAACTACTGTATGGATGTAGTAAAATAGTAACAGTAAAGGTGGTTAACGTCATAAAAATCGTTTAGAAAATTAAAAATCATCTTGAAATTCAAACAGTTCCCATTTAAAAATTTCGTGCATAAAGCAGATTCTTTCAAAAGCTATTGGATTAAATAACATAGTTCTTTTCACTTGTAAATAAAGTGTAAAAGTTTTATACACTAAATAAAACTAGTAATTGATGGCGTTGGTGATCCTTCAAGCCACAGAGTTTTCTTCACGGTGTTTTTATTGCTTAGTGGCAGAGATGTAGGATTAAAATGGTAGCAGTAAGAAAAATTATCTTTGCCATTTCATGATTTTATCCCCGAAAGAAGGTGAATGGTTACTACGTTTACCTGTCACATACTTTCATACCTTCGGTTTCTTTCCAAACTGTCTACTGTTTGCATGCACTGAGGCATAACAGCTTCAACCATTTTATAGTAATGCTAATTCGTGTGTTGATAACTTCGTCATGTTTTCGTCTTGGAATTGTACTTGGTTCACTGGAAATCAGGTGGTCAAGAAATGGTTTAAACATCATTGATTAAGTAGAAAAAAGATAGTGAAATATGCCGTGAATTTCTTCTCATACAAAGAGAAGGCAAAACATATGAGCTAAGCAATAAAATAAGTCCCCTTCATGAATTTTAATAAAATTAGACGTAACGTGACTGAAAACGAACCAGACAAGCTACATCTTATTTTCCTGTATTGTTTATGCTACTTATAAGTAGGCAAATTTATGTTGCCTAAGCGACTGGAAAATTTAAGGTGAAAACTGCTTGATATTTATGTTGTAAAGCCGATCAGTGATTGCAGATCATTTTTTTCAGAGGAATGTGGCGAAACAATGTGGTACCCTTTACGATGGCATGGTAGAGCAATTAAAAAACGATGTATTAAGGAGAAGTAACGGGCTTAGTTTAGTGAGCGCGAGTAAACGAATTCATCAACCAACTGGTGTCATAGAAACCAGCTAAAGGTCAATATCGTTGCGTCTTCTGTTGAGTTTTGTCCTACGAAGAAGAAATAATGCTTTGAATTTCCTGATTACAAACATCAGCTTGTTCTGTATGCAGATAAGTCATCTAATAGTCAACCCTCCTAATGTGTATACTTACGCCTTTTTAGCATGTTAAATTACACCTACTGTTGTGTGTTTTCCTGCAGCTGCAAGCTGATCTTCATCTTTAGTGGTCAGTATCCTCTTGATCATTAAGAGATTATAACAGGTACGTTGATTGTGACTGATAATTTGATCGGTTGAAGTGATTAATTCCTTCACTACCTTACCACCCCCTTACAATATGTTTCGAGCCTTATTTCTGCCTCCATTTTATGCCACTCATTTTGAAAACTTATTGTTAGGATATTTACCGATTGAAAAAGTCCAACAACCATTTGTATTGTACACATTTTCTTTTACTTCTCCAGTTATCATCGAAGATGGTGTTTACAGATCAATTTGCATAATGCAATAAGAAGATGCAGTTCATCTGAAATGTGTGATATATTTTCACAATGCATCTCGAGTAAACTGATCACATTTACTTTTTAAGGAATTTTTATATGAAAGGTGAAAATATAGTAGGATAAAGCAAATAAATTAGGGCAATACAAGATTTGAATGATAAAGTATAGGGAGGAGGCGTAATCGAACCTTGGTAACCTGCTTAAATGAAACTTTCCACCAAACATACTGTATCAGATTCTTCCCTTTAAGTCTGTTTTAGTCTCTCATATATGTCTTCCATACATATCACATATCTTTGAGGATTTTTAAAATGCTCTGAACTAGCCGTTTTTTTAGGTAATAGAAAACGAAGGAAAAATGTCATATAAGAGAGAAATGGACTTTTGAATGCACAAAAGCACATTGTATTTCTATACCTCAGATACCTGTTTCAAATATTACATTCTTCTACTGGCTGACTAAATAAACTACAGCTACTGTTTAGTAGTGTTTAAACACCGGACGCTAACTTAGCACCAACCCACTGCTTCAAATTACTACCTTAGATGTTGTTATTCTGGACAACATTCAGACACCATAATAATTTCGTTTGAAAATTCTTTTTTAGAAGTAAATTTGTGAATTTATTACATGCTGAAAATTTCATACTGTAGCAAATATTTCGTTTGGAATAAAGCTGTTATTATTGTTATTGGTGTTATGATTATTATCGTTATTACTATGGAAGTTAATGGTGATGGGACATGTCCCTAAATAGCTCGAGAAACACTTTGTACGGACTAGGAAACAACACCATCTATAGGTAACCATATCATAGAAGCAGGTCATAGGATTGACTCCAAAGCAGCCTTTAGACCATTATATAGGAGCCATCAGGAAGTCTTAGCCATGCGAAAGCTCAAACCCTTTCGTATATTGAAAAAATGGTTTGTCCTTACCTTAATTCTTCCTGGAAAATCTTCACCTGGAGGTAGTATTCATCACGGACCGACACCAGTTTGGGAACTATTGAGAACTCGAAAGTGCTGGATAGGTGTTTCGCAGTAGTACGAGACTCCTCATCAATACACATCACTACCCTGCCAGGGATCGAACTCAGGACCTTCAAGACTTCCACTGAAAGCGTTAACTATCCAGCTACTGGGTCGATGTCGAGTGGTCTGCAGTTCCGTACATCTGTCACTTTACACCATAGTGCGACCATCCATCAAGCTTTTCACTTCTGACTGGTTGACCGCACGGGTCATGAACTCTGATTGCAACTTCAGGAAGTCCG